TTCCGGTCTGGGAGAGCACCTGCCAAGTAAGATTGTAAGGAGCGTGGGGGTTTAGGGGGGCGGACCAGGAAAAGGACAGGGCAACTTGAAGCAACAGGAAGAAAGTGATCATGTTGGTGCAGAGGATTTTTTCTGTAGCTTAATCTTCAGAGGGTTTTCAGTGCAGCTCGCCTCCCACTCGTTTAGGCAGGGCTCAGCTGCTGGTTTCACATGCGCTGCGTGGATCCAGGTAGAGATGCCGTCAACTTTCACAGCTGTCGGGGTGGTCAGGAGCACATAGTAAGGCCCTTTCCAGCATGGCTCTAGGTTCCCGGCTCGGTGTCTGCATACATAGACAGGGTCCCCAACCAGGAACTGGTGAGGTACTGACAGATCTCTGGGTCGGTAGGCTTCTTGCAGGGGCCTCCAGACTTCTCTCTGCACTGTCTCTAGAGCTCTCAGCCGCTCAAGCAAAGGCTGGCTGGGTAGATTCTCAGCAGTATCCTTCAGCAGTGTTGTAGTCCCAGGTGGGTCGCGTCAAAGGAAACCCTCGGTCTATTTCATTAGGGAGTTGGGTAGGTCTCCCGTCAGCTCCAGGCACATTTTTCCGCGCCTCCAGGAGAATTCTCTCTCACTCCTCAGTAGTGAAGAGCACCTCCAAGGGGGGGTCGTGTCGGGAGTGAGGGGCTGTCGTCGGTTTCCCGGCCAACGCACCAAATGTTGGATCCGCAGAGCCGGACCCCAATGAGATCGGTCGCCAGCACCAATCACTCACGAGAGACCGTCCTTGATGCAAACAGCATGAGGTTTCGTTCCATCCAGCGTGCTGGGGCACAACTCTTGACCTACGCAGAGGCAGAGGAGTTGAGCCCCGAGCTAAGGGTACATACAGCTTATAAAGGCAATAACCCGCGCAAACATGGGCTAACACACAGGGAGGGTTGCTGATTGGTGTATTTAAAATCACCATACTTCTTGTAACACTGAGCAGCACAGGCTCTTTTAAGAGCCATTAGAATTGCTGTACACTCCCTGCTGCCTGTGAGGTACTGACCTTCTAGTTATCTCCCTCCTGGCTTGATTCTTATCCAGGTAAGGGTCACCAAAACTACGACACTCAGCACTCTGTAACAACTGCATAAAAAGATATAAATCAATGCCATTGACTTTTAAATGCGGAAGACGTAGTGGCTAATGTCTTTGTATATATGGTTTCACCACAACAGTAAGAAACAATGGTTGTTTTATTGGTTGTTTTATGGTTGTTAGTTGATGTTGTTAGGTGCCATTGAGCACAATACCAACGTTATCAACAACAGATATGAACTCTGTCCTCTTTCCAACACCACAGTATTCTCCTCAAACATGATGGCTCAAAGGCATCAATTCTTCTTCTGTCATCCTTATTCATTGTACAGATCTCAGATGCATAGCAAGTGACTGAAAAGACCATGGCCTGACTCTAACGCACCTTAGTCCTCAAAATGATATCATTGCTCCTCAATAATTTGGAGATATCCCTGACTTCAGACTTTCCCAATGCAGTACTTGCACTCTTCCATTAAAAAGCACTGTGTAAACTTAAAACCAAGTAACTTTGTAATCTAGTTGTTTATTCTGTACTTTCCTTTCAGTGATTTTTAAAATTTTTTATTACTTTGAATTTTAATGAAACTTTAAAGGGACTTTGGGTTTCCATTCATTCACTGTTGCACTTTTCTCCCTGCTCACCCTTCCCCACCCAGTATACTCTTCTCTTTGAAAAGTAAAAGAAAAATTCTTTCATTGTTTTACAATCCCTCCCCCCAGGTCCACTCCACTATGCAGCCTCCGTTCTGGACTTCAGTGATGATAATAATACCTGATCACATATCCTTTTTAAACAGTTTTCTCCCTCAACTGTTTCAATGCAGTATACATTATTTATTCCATCTTTCTCAGTCTCCACCCAACCCTGAGGTCAGTCCTGTTTTATTTGCAGTATTTGTCCTTTTGTGACTGAAATATTCCATTCAGCATAATGTCCTCCAGGGCCACCCATTTTGAATAATATTGCATGAGTTCCTTGTTTTTCAATGCAGCATAGTGTTCCATTGTGTGAATATATCACAGCTTCTCTATCCATTCATTTGTTGATGGGCACTTAGGTTGTTTCCAATTCCTTGTTATTGTGAACAAAGCCTTGATAAACATGGGTGTGCATTCAGTGCTCTTCTTGAAATCAATGCCTGAAAGTATTGGGACTGGCCAGCCTGCATGGAATTCTAGTGAGAGACGAAAATGGCAAGATCCCTCCCATACCTGAGAAGAAAACACAATTGATTGAAACACTAGGAATAACACTTAACGTCATTCTTAAGGTCTAAACTGCTGTACCAGGAAAAATAAGTTCTGCATAAAGTCTTTATAGAAGTTGAGTCCTAGGTCCTAGTAAATATTTTGTGCCTCTAAATCAGTCTCAGTGACCATTTTCAGAGAAGCCAGCCTGCAACACTAGTGATGTTATCCCAAATATCCTACCATTACTATTACTACTGAAATGTTTCAAACTATCCCTTCTGAACTTATAGGACTGCCCACTGCACAGTTCTGCCTTTATCTCGCTAAGGGTTTCTTGAACTTTATCCTTTCCAAAATGGAAACTTTCTCCCATAAACCTGATAATTTATCATCTCAACAAATTTCATTATAATTTTACCAAGTCACCATCTCCACATTTTCTTTACAATAGATATTTGTGTTAATATCCATTCATACATTAACAAGTTAGCCCTAAAACAAATGGTTTAAAATAACAAATCTTTGTAGTTCATGATTACAGTGGATAAGGAATTCAAAAGCAGCTTAGCTTTCATTCTTTCCCATAAGCCCCACAGTCAATAAGGAAAAGACAACCTAAATAAAAAGCCAAAGGAAAAGAATAAAAAGAGGCAATTTAGAAGGTATTTAAATGGTCAATTGTTTCTTAGGTGCTACAGAGTAAGTAGAGTAGGCTACAACTCCATAATTCAAAGGCATCGATTCTTCAATTTTTTTCCTTATTCATTGTACAACTTTCACATTCGTAGGAAGCAAATGGAAATGACTCATAGGTAGAGGCCTTGACTCTGAGCCAGTGTTAGAAAGCTTGTTCAGTTCTGCCACTTAATGTTCATACACTCACACAGGCAACACCGCCTAGGCAAGATGCTTGACTCTGGCTAAATGGGGCAGCAGATGTGACTCTGTTCCATCCATCTGTGGTCTCGGATTTTCTGTCACCTCTGCTGTCACTGTTACCATTGTTCTCAAGTCTCGCTCTGAATCTAGGCCAAGGAACACACTGCACTCTCAGCTTCCACTTACTTGATGGTAAAGAAGCCCATTTTCTGCCTCTGCACTTGCTGAATTTAAGCAAGGCAGGGTGGAAAACCTTACCAATCCTCTCACTTTATTTACATGTTCTCACTGTTGTGAGGCCATTG